GTACCACAGGGACAACAACTTGGTGCCCATAATGACACCACATGGGACATTTAATTCCCGTAACAAAGGTTCCCTTGGGCTCCCAGACCTCCCCTCAGTGAGGGTCTCTTCTGCCAGGCTGGCCAAGGCAGCAGCAGGGACGTGAGCAGCACAAGAGGCAGAGGAAAGGTGCCCCACCTGCCTCACCTCCTGCCTTGCCCCTGGCAGCACTGGGGTGTCCTCTGGGGCTCCTGCATCACCCCTTTAACTGTGCCAGGCCCTGGCTCCTCCCTTGCCCTCCCAGCCCCACAGTCAGGCTGTCAAACCACACTCTGTTTACTTTATAAAACCAAACTCACCTCCAAACACTTCTTTGGTGAAACTCGTGGAAACCTGGCTTGTACCAGCTCACACAGAAGGGAAGGCTCACACACCATAATATCTTGTTATTTAAAACCCTGGTGGTGATTAAATCACTCTGATGATCCTTGGAGTCTGACTCATCATTTTTTTCTAAACATTCAGGGTTGGTGAGACAGGGATTTGCTGCTGCTGCTGTCCAGCAGCAAATTAATGCATCCCCCGTGGAAACTGGCAGCAGGATGGGGCAGAGGCTCCTGCCCATCTCCACACCCCATCCTGCAGCTCCCTTTGTCCACTGGGGTGGTCTCTGCAGAGACAGGGGTAGGGCAGCTGGGGTTTCTATTTTTAATTAATCCCAATTAAGCTGTCCTGGGAAAGACAGCCAGTGTCACTCCAGTCTCATGAGCCCAGCCTCTCACCCCTTTGCTAGGGCACACCACACAGGAGCCATGCCCTCTGTTCCAGGCAATAATGCTGACTCCATGTTTCAGAAGGCTTGATTTATTATTTTATGATATATATTATATTAAAACTATACTAAAAGAAGAAAGGATTTCATCAGAATGCTAGCTAAGAATAGAAAAAGAAGGAGTGATAACAAAGGTTTGTGGCTCGGGCTCTCTGTCTGAGCCAGCTGACTGTGATTTGCCATTAATTAGAAACAACCACATGAGACCAATCACAGATGCACCTGTTGCATTCCACAGCAGCAGATAATCATTGTTTAGATTTTGTTCCTGAGGCCTCCCAGCTTCTAAGGAGGAAAAACCCTAAGCAAAGGATTTTTCATAAAACATGTCTGTGACATCCCATTCCCCTCCACCCACAGCTTCCCTCCAGCCATGGCAGAGGCCTTGCAGGGATGCCCAGGGTCCCTCCTGGTGCCCAGGAGCTGCTGCCACACCCGGGGAGCTGCCAGGGGCCGTGCCCATCTGCCTGTCTGCAGGATGACCCTCACCAGCACCACCAGCGTAGCCCAGGCCTTCTTCTGCCTCCTGCTCTGCATCCCCTGGGGCAGCTCCTGCCCGCCCAGCTGCCAGTGCACGGAGCGGGCCGGGGCCAAGGCTGTGCTCTGCAGCTCCCAGCACCTGCAGGAGATCCCCAAGGACATCCCCAGGGACGCGGTCCTCCTCAAGCTGGACGCCAACAGCATCACCAGCATCCCCAGCAATGCCTTCAGGCGCCTGTCCCGCCTGCAGGAGATCGACCTGTCCCGGAACGCCATCGAGCACATCGACAGGGCGGCCTTCAGAGGGGTGGCAGCCGGGCTGAGGAGCCTCGATCTCTCCGGGAACCGCATCCGCAGCATTCCCAAGGAGGCTCTGCTGGCTCTCAGG